GGGACAAAGAGTAAAAGTCATCGGAAAGATTGAAAAAATTTAAACAGAAAACGGAGAGCGAGTGATGAATCCTAGAGGTAACTGAAGCTACACGTTAACTTTCAAAATTTCTGATGCAATCAGAGTTTGTTTTAGAAAGAAAAAAATTATATGAAGCTGTAACAATAATAGTCTGTGTTAGGAGCAATCATTGCCAATGATATCTAAAAAAAAAATAATAAGAAGAAGAAGAAAACAAAATGATTGTAATAAAGATTCAGTCTTACAAAAGAGATAAACATACACAAAAAAAAAAAATCCGTTAACTTTTATATGTTTTGCAGAGTTTTGAAGCTTTAGTCGGTCTTCTAGTTATTACCGAAAAAAAAACGGTAAAAATGATTGTTCTCGTTGATGCATAATCTAGTAGCCAAATGTATTAGTGACAACTAAGTTGAATTGCCACAGTGCCGATAGTGTTCAATTTTTGGCATATATTGTGGAGATCTCAGTGGTAGAATGAAATGTACGGCAATGAAGTTTGAATGAACGTCCCCTTTGCAAACGATCATATCACGTGAAAGCACCGCTTTCTCGTCGCTCACTTATCTTAATATGTAGTTAATATTGTGAAAGTTTTTGTATGAATATTTTCATTTACAATATCCACATTTACTTTATCTGGAGGGCAAAATGTGCTATGCTTGTATGTGAGTTTGCTTTTTAACCTGTAAAGGCATGCGTAGAGTACCTCCGGAATGGTCCACCCTGTGGGTGGGAATAGCACCCAATATATCTAAATCAATTTTATTATTTGCGGGATATCAAGTCCACTATGTAAATAGAAGCAGGGTGAGCTTACGGAATTCCTCCACCGTTGGTCGGAATCGACCAGTTATACTTTTTGGAACCTTATGTCTGTGTGTATCTCTTAACACAATTACCTCTAGATAATTTCGCATAATCAAGACAAACTATGAATATATGAACTCAGTGTCAAAAGTTTATATCAATATCACTATCATCTAAATTAGGCGTCTGTAAAGCAAATATTTTTTCTACTCTGATAATCGATACATTTCCATGGCAAAATTATAAGAGACCGATTCTGTGCAGTAGTATATATATGTATGTATGCATTAATATATAGCTTTCACAGTGGCTCTGATCGAGTGCGTGTGAAATGGCAATGGAAAGGAATTCCTTCAAAATACTTATAATTTTGCCCAATGACCTTCCATATAGCTTAAAAAGAATGGTAAAATGTTTTGTTGATGCCAATACAAAGATATCCATTGAAACGAGATGTCCTCTGCATGAGTACTTTAAAACATTATGAAAAACACATAAATTCCTCAAGAGTATCTGTAAAACGTCAATGGTAGTTTGACAAACTAGACGAAATATGTGAAAGGAAGAACCATTAAAGAGTGACTAGGAGGGGCAAATGGATCCTGAACAACCTATTAAATGATAATGTTGTTAAGGGGGATAGCGCGAACGCAGTCCCCCCGCTAACAAAATTGCGCACTCGAGTTAACCCACATTTGGGTTAATCGCAGGGGTCAGCGCCACCGGAGTGCAATGGTGAGCCTCGCCCTGGGAGAACCGCCTTCGTGATCACGGTATCTCCTGTGCCAGGTAAGTATGCTCTCCTAACCACAAGCCGGACCCAGATCGCTCACACTGAGAACACCACGTGCTACACACAAGTTTATGCAAGTAGCAGCTTGACTTTTGTTTAATGGGGGAAATCTGTATGGATTTAGGTCCAAATTAAATTATAGTTTTACCTATTACGTAAATCCAATCTGATATTGAAATTTATCCGCACACTTAATTTTACAAACTTGGAAACCGTGTAGCTCCGTTAATTAACAAATTATCTTGTTCTAAAACTATGTGTGGATTAATTTCAAATACGTAAATTCGGATTCACGCAATTCCTAAAAATATAAAAATAATCACATATAGTGTTTCACGGGTCACAGAAATGAATACGGCTTGTCATAATGGTAGACTTAATTCGACCTGCAAAAACATAAAACAACAAATAACAAAAATCTTATAACATGGGGCACAACAAATGGAAACAAATACAAATCATCATATGAAGTGCCAAGAAAAATAAAATTATGTCAAACTATTTAATGCAAAGTATAAGAAATCAAACTTACAACATTGGATCATTGGTGAGCGAAGTGTTATCCCGTTTTTCACGTAGACAGAAGATCTCTTTTTGGGAATATGCTATCGCTTCTAAAGATGCTAAAATACAATGATAGCATCCCAAAACAACAAGAAAATAAAACTGCACCCGACTTATAAACAACTTCAAAAAACATAATATGGATCTTTTTTTGAGACTCAAATTCCATGCGTTACCTCTATTCCATCATGCTCAGCACATAAAAAAAAACAGAAATTGAATCGTCGATAAAATAACAAAAAAAGGAATAAATTATCATAGTTAATACAAACTAAATGATACACTCCCCGACACAATCATTGTTCTTCCACGGTAATAATACAACCAGCTGTGGACTGATCTTCTAATGATAGTATCAGAACTGACCTTTGTACTCTTTCCTGGTTTCTGCACTTTATATCTAATACTCACATCCCGAACTTTAGTGTCTCTTCCCTTTTCTACTTTTACAACTTGTCCCATTTTCCATTTTCCTTTAACTGTATTAGAATCTTGTATCAACACAATATCACCAGACTGCAGATTTCTTTAATCAGTATGCCATTTTTGTCTAACAATTAATGTAGGGAAATAATCTCTTTGCCATTTACGCCAAAATGTATTAACAACATTTTGTATATAATCTAACCTTCTCTTTGTATTGAAGAATCTTTCCATGGTCCACATGGTGCATGATTACTTGCCCTGCCTAAAAGCAAATCATTTGGGCACAAGTAAGTTCCTAATTCTAAATCCATACCAGGTTTTAATCCAATAGGCCTTTCATTCATGAGGTTTGCTATTTCAAAAAATATAGTTTGTAGACCACTATATGTCATCAGAGTAGATCCAATTATCATGGCTAAGGATCTTTTCACAGATTTGATCAAGGACTCACTAACACCATTTGCCATGCTGCATCAGCTGAACGGTTTGAAAATCCATTTAATCCCCCTTTTGTTCCAAATTCAGAAATATCAGACATATCCAGTTATTTATAGCTATTTGAAGTTCCTTACTAGCTGATACCAGTTGAGAGCCTAAGTCTGAATGAACAGTAGCTGGATATCCATGGACAGCTGTGAAACGTCTAAAAGTCTTCAAGAAACTATGGGTATCATATCCATCAACAACATCAATATATACAGCACGAGTAACCATGCAATTACATATAACACCATAAGCTTTACCAGTAGTTCTTTTCTTCACATTGTCTCTTAGTTGAAATGGCCCAAAGATATCTGTAGCAGTGTGATAGAAAGCTGGACATGGAGTTATTCTTTCAGTAGCGACTTGACCCATGCACTGACCTTCAACTTTGTAATCTAATCTCCTACAAGTAACACATTTACGTTTCACTGCTCTGATGACTTTACGTGCTGAAGGAACCCAGAACTTTGTCTGCAGTTTACTAAGTGTAACATCCACTCCAGCATGATCTATATTATGCAAATGACTAATATAAAGTATAGTAAACAAATGTTTCCTGGGTAACAGGATAAAGTTATCTTGATTCCAATTTTGTTTTAACCAATGCTCCAGTCTTTGACCTACCATAATTATACCATTTTCAGTCTTGTATGGTCCCAATCTTTGATATTTCTGTTTCCAATTACCAGAAAAACATTTTTGTGCTTGCCTGATCCAAAATTGTAATGCTTCATTTAGAATATCAGGTTCAAGTCTTAATAAGATACCCTTTAAAGATCTGATCTTCATTACATTTAATATCCTACCAGTAACTGCAATAAGTTTATTGGAATTTTTGAACTTAGATAAATCAATAACACATTCATCTGAGTCCTTCAGACAGTGTGTTAAATTCACATGGACTCTATCAGGCAAGTCACATTCAATAGATTGACTTATTGGCCACTCTTCTTTGGGTAGAGTCATGAATTTTGGGCCATACTTCCACAATGAACTGATGATAATATCTGATGGATCATTAGGTCTAGTAAGTAAATCTGCAGGATTGTGACAAGAAGCAATCCACCACCATTCATTGGGATTACTCTTCGATTGTACTTCTGCTACCCGTGTTGCTACAAAAGTCCCAAATCCATACGACTCCTTTTGGATCTGTGCTCTCACAATAGCCGAGTCTGTTATATGCATTACTGAACTAAATCTATATGATAATTCATTTTCGATTAATTTGCGTAGTCTGCATGAAATAATTGCTCCACACAATTCAAGTCTGGGTATGGAAAGTTGTCTGGTAGGAGCTATTCTTCCTTTTGCCATTATTAGCTTACTTTCAAACATTCCAGATTTCATTTTCCATCTAGCATAAGCCACAGCACCATATGCATTTGATGAACTATCACTAAAAATAACAAGCATAGGCAGACCTATTGCTGTGGGTGGTTTGATACATCTTTCAAATGACAAGGAATCAATCCCAAATAATTTGTGAAAGTGTACTACCCATTGCTCTTTCATATGGGCAGGCAAAGGGTCATCCCATCCTAACTTGGTGCTGCAACTGACAGTTTCCCGTAATAATATTTTGGCTTTCAATGTGTATGGAAGAAGTAAACCTAGTGGGTCATACACAGAACACATCTGACTTATAACAATTCTCTTAGTTAAAACTGGAGGAATGTTACAAATAAAATTTGAAAATTTTAAATCTGGACCTGTTCGTATACCCTTATATTTAGGAGAAAAATTCAACCTTGCTTTGAATTTAAATTCATCATTCCAACGATCCCAATATAAACCAAGAATTTTATCGCCTTCATTCTCTGAAAAATCTAGATCATCCTTATCAACATCACCAGTCATAATCCACTGCTTTACCTTAAAATTGCCATATGAGAGTATTTTCTCAGTTTCCTGAATCAACTGCAAAGCTTTCCTCTTTACTCTCAACTGATTGTATAATATCATCAACATAAGAATTTGATATTATCATAGAAGCAGCATCGGGATACTTTTCCATCCATAGCTCAGCTGTGTGTTTAAGAGCCAACATAGCAATTATTCCAGAAGGTTTGTCACCAAAGCCCATTGAAGTTAACACATAATGCTCAGGCTCACAATTCAACTGGAAATCTCTCCAAACAAATCTGCGTACATGTTGCTCCATTTCAGGAAGCTTAATACTGTTGTACATCTTACTTATATCACCTGCTATACCTATGGCTCCTTCACGGAATCTCAGTAATATGCCCACCATGGAATTCAAAACATCAGGACCCTTGGCCCAAAAGCTATTTAGAGATTGTCCCATGAATTTGGCAGAGGAATTAAAGACAATCCTAATTGGTGTGGATGTAGATCCTGGCTTTAGCACTTCATGATGTTGAAGATATGTAATAGGACCAGCATAACCTTTTATTTCATCTGGTGTTAATTTACGTGCAACATCACGTTTGATCATATCCCTTATTTGGTTGTTATAAGCTTTAGCATATTCTGGTCCAAGTTTCAGCAATCTCTTCTCAGTACTCCTTAATTTGGCAACAGCAACAGAGATATTATTCTGTAATAAATTAGGGTCTTTAACCCATGGGAATTTAGCGGACCATTGTTTTTTTTCTGAATCATATTGTAATCCTTTTTCAATTAAGGCTAACTCTCTCTCTCCTCTAATACTATAGTCATTGTTACCCACTGCACATTTGCCACATTTGCAATCACCACATCTAGGATTACATTCTGTTCCTAAATATTCCACTGTGAAAAATTTATCAATCTGATCCTTAATATCAGATTTCGGTTCAACAGTTATATCTTTGTCATATATAATCCCAGAAATATGGTTTATTCTGATGCCTACAATATCCCTAGTACCTGAGGCACAAGCTATACTAGGGTGACTACCACGAACACACATCCCAAATCGAGATTCCATAAGTTGTAAATTTTCACCTACAGTTTCTTTAACTGTAGGGATTAGAGAGCAATAGTCAGCACCTATCAGTAAATCTATCTTACCATGAGGTCTATCCAATTGGCATACATCAGTACTCTTAAATAAATGCTTCACATGTGACAGATTAACCTTGTTTATACATGATGTTATTTCATCTATACCATAAGCAGTAATATTCACATTATTCCCCTGTTTATCAGTAAGAACAAGGTCATATTCCTTACTGTTATATGTTACAGTCTGGTTTCCTAGTTTAGTCACAGCTAAGCGTATATGCTTGCCTTTCAATCCTAATGAGGCTGCCATATCATTTCGTATCATTGTCACGTCAGCCCCAGAATCAAAGAGTGTATTTAATACTTGATTATTACATTTAATCTTATTGACCATGAACATGACTCCATTTCTTTTCAAGCTGACGTATGAACTCCCAACAATCTGATTTTCATGAAGGCTCGTGTGATGGAGCTTCCCACAAGTTTGATTATTTGCATCAGTTGCAGAACATCTTGATTTTTTAAAACATCTCCTAGATACATGATTTCCCTTTAGACAATTAAAACAGATACCTCTTTTCCTTAGAATTTCAAATTTCTCACTATTGTTTAACTTCTGAAATGTTGCACAGTCTAAAATATCATGTCCATCTGTTCCATGATACCAACACCTGTTCAAATGTGTACTTAGAGTACCAATAGACCTCTTTTCTTCACTCTTTTCTTCTGTAAGCTTGATCACAAGGTTATTTATATTTGTTACAGCCTTCTCAACATCAGACAGCCTCTTCATTATTTCTGATTCTTCAGTATGGTCAGAGCTAATCCTATCTTGATTGTACACAGCATAGTTCACTCTAGCTTTAGTGTTAACAGGGTTCCTTACACTGGCAATCAGATACTTAAGGGATTTCCTTTCACCCAAAAGGTATTCCAGTAGTTTTTTAAATAATTCAACAGGTTCAACATTTTCTGCTATTTTGATCCATTCCCGCTTCTGAGTTGGAGGCAAGAGTTTCTCTATCTGACTTGTCATATTGGCAGTATTAAGTTCTGAAGATAGACCCAACTGATCTAGATAAAGAAAATTTTGCTCAATTTTGTCTACCATTCTGATAAAACCTAAACTATCACCCTCGACTACAGGTTCAATTTCTCTCAAATCTTCAATTACTACATCAATTACTCGTCGACTATCACTGTACATGTCATCTAACCGTGCAAACATTTTATCAAAATCATGCTCGACCCCACAAATAGAGTCTAAGGCTTCTCCTGAGAGACACTGTCTAAGAGCAAATGGGTCTTTTCCATAGTTGGGTTGCATAAGTCTGACATAATCCCTTTTAAAATTACTATAGTCTCTGATTTTTCCATCAAACTTTGGAATGTCAATAGATTTTACTTTGATGGCCCCTTTCATTTGCATCTCATCTTTAATCTTTACAAACAAAACATGGGCAGCACATTTCTTATCGTCAAGTTCCTTAATGTAAATGTCTGCAGACTTTAATTCTTGAGTATCACTAGTTTCATCAAGTAAATTGCAATAACTTTCATTTGCTAGTTCAACTTCCTCAAAAGCTTTAACAATCAAATTATAGTTATCTTCCAATATTTCTAAGGCAACTTTATCTTTCACATGCTCATAAAACTTTTCTAGCTTACGTGTTAACTTTGCTTTGGCAGTTCCTCTATGCTGCTTAGCCCTTTTTGACTGATTCTTCATCCAACCGTCTACCGAAGCAGCAGAGCCCTCCATGCTGCCGTGCTGAGGCTCCTCGTCGCTGAGCCCCATCCTGAGTGTTGTCGAAATGTTTCACGGGTCACCAGAAATAATACGGCTTGTCATAATGGTTTATGATTTATTTCGACCTGCAATAAACATTAACACACAAATAACAAAAATCTTATAACATGGGCACAACAAATGAAACAAATACCAAATCACTCATATGAATTTCCAAGAAAAATAAAATTATGTCAAAATATTAATGCAAATTATAAAGAAATCAAACTTACAACATTGCCTCATCTGGTGAGCGTGAAGTGTTATCCCTGTTTTCCACTTAGAACAGAAGATCTCTTTTTTGGGAATATGCTTATCTGCTTCTAAAGATGCTAAATACAATTCTAGCATCCCAAAACAACAAGAAAATAAAACTGCAACTTATAATACAACTTCAAAAACATAATATGGATCTTTGTTTATGACTCAAAATTCCCATGCGTTACCTCTATTTCCCATCATGCTCAGCACATAAAAAAAACAGAAATTGGACATGCGTGATAAAATAACAAAAAAGGAATAAATTATCATTAGTTAATACAAACTAATGATACAATAGTATTAATTAAAAAGTTGAACATTTAATTTTCGACATTTATATACCCCTTCGACCTATATTTTCATTGCTGTTACTCTTCCATATCAAGAAATGTATAAATTGTAAAGAGCTTTATAAGGAAACAGGTACATGTAATGTTCTTTTTAGAACTAACTTTAGAATTTAGAAAACATACTTTCTCTACGCACCACTCAAATCCTCGTTTGTTCACATGCATACAATATACACATGAATGCGTATGCGTGCGTTCGCACACATATAAGACTCAAAATTTGATGTTTCACAGAGCACATGGATATAATTCAGTTAGAGAATTAATTACATTACAACAATCACATGCAAACTTTAATCTTATTTAGAGGATAGTTAGTGATTGAGTTCTACATTCTCATTTAAAGAAAACGTATAAACTTCATTGGCGTACACTTAATTAAAGGCAACTGTCTCAATATATCACAATTTATACACAATGTATAACTCATATCATAAAGAATGTGATAGGATACTAAGGTGATTTTTCATAAAGACATAAACGTTATCTTTCTGTATCGAAAATGCTAACAAGAGGTCACTTATGACGTTTTGCAAGTAAATGCCTTGACCAGTAAGTCCTCAGAAACATTATCTGGGACATAGTTTCACCTGTTTTTCGGTATCGCTTCTCGGCCTCACTCGTGTTTGAACTCTTGACGAGACAACACCTTTCTAACGCAGTAGCAACAAATACAAAGTCTTGTGCCACTTGAGCTACCCTGGAGCCCGGGGCCTCTTGTCTCGCTTGACATTGTTGTTCCTGAGTTATTTAAAGTAATCGAAGTAAAGTAAATCCTGTATTTACAGAAAGAGAACTTTGCCAGCACCTTCAGTGCTCTTGCTTTTGCAGGTGGCACGAGGCAGTAGGCCTAGCCAGCACCCCACCTCAGACCCGCAGCTCTCTTCTACACCAGGGTAGCCCTTGTGGCTTTGACCCCTGGGTAGGGAGGCCCAGTAGTCTGGGGCGTCATTTGGGCGCACTTTTTCTTATTTTCTAAATTCTTTTCCTCATAATGTGACTTCCCTGAGCCTACCGGAGTACCCTTGTGGGCTCCCGTATTCGCTTGGGGGGTGGGCACTGAATTACCGTCCTTCGCCTAGGCAAGTTCGGCGGTAAGAAGGTGTCCCACACATAACTCGATCCCTCTGTGGTACTGGAGAACGCAGCCAGGCTTCCACTGAGGGGGTAGAGGACGTTTTACTGCCTTACTCTCTTAGCTATTGCTGTTAGGTTGATACCAAAAGTTAAGAGTTTTTGATCCCTTCAGGACAACAATTGTGAGACAAGGGGTCGGACCTGGTCCGATACCCAGAATGAATGACTCCCCGGCTACCCCTTCTCCTCCTCAAGGAGGGGGGACGACTAACGACCATTCTAAGACTAATTCGACTATGAACAATGATACCCCCACTAACGACAAAACAAGACGACCACTCTTTAAGATCCCCACCCAGAATGCAAGGTTCGCGAATGTAAAATGCGTGAATGAAAATCAGTCGCTTTTGAACGTTAACCCCTTTATCATCAAAAAGGTCCTTGATGGTCAAGTGGACGGCGACTTTGATTTTGTCAAAAAATTGCGAGATGGAAGCCTCCTTGTTAAAGTACAATTCAACTCCCAGATTAAGGATTTACTTAAGCTGACGCAAATTCATGATCTTCGAGTTAAAGTAACTATTCCCATTGGCCCAAATACCTGTAAGGGAGTAATCTTTCACAGGGATTTGAGGCGATGGAAGAAAGTGAAATTCTCGAGAGCATGAAGGACCAAGACGTAGTGGACGTTCATTGTATGACCAAGAAGGACGGGAATATGCGAACGAAAACTGGACTGTGTTTTTTGACCTTTGCCCTGAATAAAATCCCTGAATATGTCAATGTCGGTTATGAGCGTGTTCAAGTAAGACCTTATGTCCAAAAGCCAATGCATTGTAATAGATGCCAAAAATTCGGACACACCTCATTAAGATGTATTGATAAAGACTCTGCTAAATTTACCTGTCGTAAATGTGCTGAAGCCCATGACACCATCACATGTACTAGCCAGATTTCTAAATGTGCTAACTGTGGAGGTCCCCATCAGTCAGGATCTGCCGAGTGCAGCATCCTGAAGAAGGAGACTGAGACATTGGCATATATGAGAAAGCATGAAGTTAGTTATACTGAGGCTAAGAGGAAAGTTGAAAGTTTGACACACAAACCTGATACTTCCTATGCTGCAGCACTAACTAACACTACCCCTAGCACAAGTGATGTCAGTCAACAGCTTGCAGCTAAAGATAAGGAAATTGCCGAACTCAAACAAACTGTCAAAGAATTGAACATTAAAGTATATCAACTGACTAAATTGGTCGATCAAATGGCTGCATCAACCCAGCATAAACATCAAAAGGAGGATGATACCGAATCACAGTCCGGAGCGCACCTTCCCGTCCGGGCTACTCCTGTGAGGACTTCGTCTGGCTCGCGATCGGTTTCTCGAGAGAGAAGCAGATCGCAATCTGTCAGTCGTCTCCCTCGCCAGGAGGTGCAGGACATGGAGGCTTCTGTCTCCAAACCATCCCGTGAGAGGTCCCCGGGAAGCGAGGGAGAGGAGGCGCCTCCCTCCCATAAAAAGAAAATCCGAACTGGTGGACAAGGCACTTCCAAACCCCATAAAACGTAATCTTCGCGTCGACCATTATTCAATGGAACTGTCGAAGTATTAGATCTAAAGTAAATGACCTTAAATTATTAGCCTCGTCCTATGCTCCCGATATTATAGTCCTCCAAGAAACACATTTAACGCAATTCGTCTCTGACGAGGTTGTTTCGCTGAGAAACTACCATCTGTGTCGGAAGGATCGTGAGGGTAGGGGTGGAGGCGGAGTCGCCATGTACATCCACCAAAACCTCCCTTTTACAGAAGTGACTTTTGATTCTACTTTGGAGTTCGTCGCATGCAAAGTAAAAATTAATGGCACGTATCTGGCTATATGTTCAGTTTATTGTCCACCTGATACAGTGATAATCTATGATGAGCTGTTTGCTCTTCAGGAACGTCTGCCACAAAATAAAGTAATTTTAGGTGATTTTAATGCTCATCATACGTTATGGGGTTCCCTGCGGGTGGATGGTAGAGGTGAGCAAGTAGTTAAGCTGATTAATGAGTCTGATTTAGTCCTTCTGAACGATGGTAGTCCCACGCGGGTGGACGATAATACCGGTAATTTGAGCTTTATTGACCTATCACTGGTCTCTTCATCAGTAGCAGCTAAGTGCCTGTGGCACACCATTGACGACTCGTTGGGAAGCGATCACCTTCCTATTTTGATTAAATATTCATGCGACACAGTGAGAACGCCTTCAGCGCCTAAATTTAACGTAAAAAGAGCAGACTGGGTCGCCTTCACAAGGAGCGTCAAGCTCGAACTAGTTGGAGAGACCATTGATGATAAAGTAAACAACATTCAGAATTCGATTTTAGAAGCAGCTTTGCTATCCATTCCTAAAACTTCGACAGATAGCGTTAAGCATAGAGTTCCATGGTGGACACCAGATTGCCGCAGGGCGCTGTGCCGACGCAATAAGGCCTACAGGCTTTTCAAAAATAACATCACAAACGAGAACTTTTGCAATTACAAACAAGCAAGAGCTAGGGCTCGTAGAGTAATTAGACAAGCTAAAAGAGACTCCTGGCGGAGCTTTGTCTCTACGATTAACAGTAACACAAAAACATCAGAGGTTTGGTCCACAATCAATAAAATCAATAGAAAAAAAACATCTTTCAAAATTAAAAACATCATTGACGAGGGCAATAACATCGATTCACCTAGAGACATTGCTAATGCACTCGCCAGGCAGTTCTCTCATACAAGCAGTTCAGCAAACTACCATCACGCATTCCTGCCCATCAAGGAAGCGGCTGAACTGCAACCAATTCACTTTGCCACAGGAGATGACTTTGATTATAATAAAGACCTTACAATAGAAGAGCTTGTCCGAGCCCTAGAAGCCTGTAGAGGAACATCCCCAGGCCCCGATGAGATTCGATATGAGATGATGAAGCATCTTAATCATGATGACATGATTAAGTTGCTAGAAGTGTACAATGAAATTTGGAAAAGCCACACTTTTCCAAACTCATGGCACTTCGCCCACATCATTCCCATATTGAAAGGAGGGGGTAATCCCAAACTTGCCATCTCCTACCGCCCAATTGCGTTGACAAGTTGCTTATGCAAGGTCATGGAAAGAATTGTTAACAGTAGGCTATTGCATTTTTTAAATTCCAGTCATTTGCTAGTTGACGAGCAGTGCGGCTTCCGAAAGGGACGCCAAACTCTCGATCAACTAGTAAAGCTGGCCAGTCATATTGAAGAGGCAATTGCCAAAAAAGATTTTTTAATTTCAGTATTTTTAGATATAGAAAAAGCCTACGACATGACATGGCGATATGGCCTACTCAGAAAACTTTATGCTTTTGGATTACGTGGAAACTTGCCTTGTTTTATTCAAAATTTCATTTCTGACAGAACGTTTGCTGTCAAATTATTTTCTGACAATGTCACTTTTTCGGACATTTTTGTCCAGGCAAACGGGGTCCCACAAGGAAGTGTCTTGTCACCAACATTATTTCTATGTATGATCAATGACATCTTACCAGCTCCCCCTCGGAATCTTAAATACTCACTGTACGCTGATGATTGTGCATTATGGCACTCCAGCAATAATGCAGAATTCTCAGCAAATCGCATCCAATTGGCACTGGATATGATTCATAACTGGGGCCTCCAGTGGGGTTTTAAGTTTTCCATTAGAAAAAGTATTGGGGTAATTTTTTCACATAGGAAAAAGCCGAACATCAGGCTAACTCTAGACAACCACCCAATACCAATTCAAAATTCTGCTAAATTTCTTGGGCTACTTTTTGATAGTAGACTCAATTGGAAAGACCACATTGGTCAGTTAAAGAA